AGTCCGTAACTAGGGAGCATCATGAGTCTTTGATTTAGTTCGTACTTTAGTTCTTGATTTTGGGTATGTAATAGAACCAAAATTTTCATCCGTCGCCTCCCCCTCCCCCATAAATAAAAAAAGCAAAGTCACTAGTCATCTGTGGATTAGTTTAGAGTAGTTGATAGGTTCCAATATAAGTCCAAAATAACCTAGAAGAGATAAAAGATTGAAGTGAGATTGAAGTTGGGTCACCTTAAAAACTAAAAATCTAGCAACTTAAAGAAGATTCATAATACTAACATTGTCCGAGAAAACCACAAATCTCACCTATCTTTTTTTAGACCTGCATCCACTCTACTTAACTTTATATAACAGAAGAAGAATGATGTAGGACATCTAGAAGATTAGATTAGTTAGAATTTTTAGGATATGATTTTTAGAGACTTGGATAGGATTGAACCATTTATTTGATTAGATTTGTTATTTGTTATTTTGTTGGATCTGATTAAATCTATTAGATAGAATTGAGATTTATTTATTGCTATAAAAAGGATTGTAATGTTTCATTTTAGAGATGGATAATTGATATGAATAAAAGTTATGAGTTTTGAGAGATGTTTTCGAGTGATTCCCTAGGCATGAAGCAATGTTTTTTTATTAGGCGTCTGTCTATGAAACATGTATTTTATTTTGTTTTTAGAGGTTAGATGTTATGATTGAAACCGGTGTATCTTAATTTATCTTTTTATCTTACTAAAAAAGCAAAAAATTACTGTTCACAGGTACTCATCACCTCCGTTTCTCATTAAAGAGGCTTTGGAAAACAAAAAGAAATAGGGGTGGTTCCTAATTATATAAGTGTCTGCATATAGTTGGAGATTGAATCATCTAATAATTGGTTCAATTATGTTTCATCAATTAGTAAATGGGCTAAGCTTTAGTGTGCACATATGTCTAGCTAATAAACTGATGATCTCACCTTCGGCTTGATAAATCTATACATCAAGTCAAATGAGGGTAGACTACTTGTAATGCCGCTATCAAGTACACTAATCAACACAATCACATCCACTTTTTGTACATGAAAAACTATTTATTTTGTATTCGTAACATGTGGGTGTGTGTTGATAGTTGATACATATAGTATATAATATGTATATAGTATATAATATGCATGTCATATATGTGTGTTTGCATTGATCTAATGTCTATATGAGTATGTGCGTCAACCATTGAAAATTTGATCAGGACCTTAACAAGGAACTTTAACAAGGTACTGATTACAACATCACCGTTACAAGTTTTTTGGGATTTTGATGCTCAAACATATAGAGGGTTGTCATTATGTGATCATTGTCTATTATTATTCTCATATTATGGTCAATATATATGATTCAAACCTAACCGTTCATTGCAAACATAATGATATAAGTCCCTTTTTTTAATTTTCTAATTCTAACACAAGACAACATGTGATTTCTACACTAATAAGTAGCAAATTTCACCAGGAGACTTTAACAATCTAAATTTATAGTAAAAATATTGAAGTTCTCTGTAAGTAAAACAACAAACATGTAATATGCAAAAATATGGATATAACATGGAACAAGATCAAATAAAACAAATCAAGCAAAACTAAGGATTTTTTTCTCGATAATGTATCGTGAGTATCATGAGTATACTATTCATTATGCATACATGTTGATTACAAGGATATTTTTTTGGTTAAAAATAAATAAACACAAAACTGCACTTATATGTATAAATCAGATTTGCCAAAACATAGAAGTAGTAGATAGGGTGATTCTTACTAAAAAAGTCTTTACAAGAAAAATCAAACTATTAATTGTTCACCATTGTCGAGGATCATCGCCAAGGAAAAATCAAGGACTCAATGTTGCAGGCAATCATCATTGCCGCCTCACTGTAGAGACTAGGGCTTGAGAGACAAATCAGATGTTGATTGATTTGAGGGAGATAAAGAGGTTTGACCTAGGGTTGGGGTTCCAATAGAAGTGGAGAAACAGAGGACTAATCGAGAGAGAGAGAGAGAGAGAGAGAGAGAGAGAGAGAGAGAGAGAGAGAGAGAGAGAGAGAGAGAAGAGAGAGAGAGAGAGAGAGAGAGAGAGAGAGAGAGAGAGAGAGAGAGAGAATTGATCGAAGGAGTCCGGAGCAATCATAAGTTTAGAGAAGAGAGATCGCGAGTGGAGAAACAAAAGGAAGAGTTACGAACATAAGATGAGAATTTGCAACATAAGATGAAAATTGCAAATGATACCAATGAGGTTGTCATCTGAAATAACCCAGATCACAATAGTTTTAGAGTCCAATGGAATTTGGCCAATTTCTAATTCTCAAGTTTTTAAAATCTAAACATTGGAATTGGCCTAATTTTAGATTTTGAAATGAAATGATTGTATCCAAACAAACTATAAACTGATTTAGAAATATCAAGATTTGGTGGTCTAATATAAAAATAAAGAAGATATTAGGGGTCTTATATCATGAAGACCTTACATAATTATATGAATTATTGGGAATAATCATTAACATCATGCTTTGCTGGTCGTATTGACCTTTTCATGTATTAAAATAAGGTTGCTATGAGCATGATGCAAAGCCAGGAAGCTTCTTCAAAGAATTTGCCTTGATGTCATGACTAACAGTTTACCTTATATCCACTGCTGATTACTTGTTCCAACTTCATGGTTGAACTAGTTATGAGCAAGGTAGACCCGTGAATCCATGATGTTACAATCTATAACAAGTAAGTTAGATCTATCCTTTATAACTATAGTGGAGTCAGAATTTTTTCTGAGGGAGGCTAAAATACAACTATTATACTATGCATCAATAAAAAACTATCAAATATGACAATTCATAACTAACTTTCATATATGTAAGTAGGTGTAAGAGAACCTAAATTAAAAGTTTTGCAAAAAAAGAAATACTTTTTTTTGAATTGTTAGATCATTTCAACATATTCACTCATCATTAAATCAATATACTTTAATTTTCCAAAGTCTTTTTAAAAAAATCTATATATTGTAGATTTGTAGTTGGATTTTCCATAACCACAACTTAGAAATTATAATTTTTTTGAAGACTTGACTGACAATACACTATAAAATATAAATTATACAACTAAACTTATTTCAAACAATAATAAGAAATGAAATAATTTTAACTATCATCTTTATATAAAATAATTGCAGAAGTACATGAACGTAAAAAATTCATTTCACATTATCTATTTCTTAATCTAAAACTTTATGATGGAAGAATCTCATTTCACAATTTAATCAAAAAATTATAAACCACATGAAAATATAAAGCTCATTTCAAATTTCTACTGTAAAACGTAAATGGAAATCAAAAATCAATTTCCCTATTATACTTGAAATACAAAGAAAACTACATGAAAAGATGATGATGTGTATGTATAGGGTGTTTCTATATTAGTCACATAAATCTTTTAAGTGATTTAAAATTAGCCCCTTTACTTAGAGGCTGGTTGAAATTGAGAAAATATTCTAAGATTCAGTTTTGGATGTACAACAATTATACTTTTGCCCGTATCCATTCAAACTCAAAACCTCAAAAAAAACTTTACCGAAGTATATGTTGGGAAAAAATTATGAAATATTAGATTTAAAGCTACTAATTTTGAGCTTATTTTTGTTGGAATTTGATGTTTATTTTGGTTGCTTTGATATTACCCGTCCCTTATTGACCATTACCGTTAACAATTTAGATGATAAATGTAAGAACAAGTAACTTCAAACTGTTTAGAGATTTGGGGACTAATTACAAAATATTAAGAGTTGGGGGGCTATTGTAAATATGAAAGATTTGGGTGGTTTAATTCCAAATATGAAAGCTTTAGGGACTAATTTCAAATTTAAAAAATTAGAGGGATAAATATGGAAAAAACTCTACTTAATCCTTATAAGCTTTGTTTGCAAGGGGGTAGCCACCCCCGTCTCTACTATTGTTTACAGTAAGTGGTTTGAACTCATGGAATCAAGGAGTATGCCTTCAAATTCCTTATACTATGACCTTCAAATTTTCTGTACTGGGAGACAATCTAGATACTAGATAGCGATGTAGGACGAGGAAATGGTTGTATCACATATCACATAGATCAATGAAGTTTTCTGCAGCATCATAAGCACTAGTGTTTTGCCATTGTGAGCATGTAGGCAGCAGGAGTGTAGCAAATACCAAGGAGTGCGACTTCCATACATGTATTGTTGTTTTTTTGTGGGCACTGTTCTCAGTTTTATAATCTGATGGCTAAATGACTTGCGGATTACAATCCTCTTTTTGGATTATAACCTATTTTTGCATGTTTGGTAAAGATGTTTTGAGTGGATTATTTTGGATTGTGATCTACCAAAAAAATAACCTAGGCATCCTAGGTTATTTTTTGGTGGATCATAATGCATAGGTTTCGCTGAGTAAATGACAAAAAAGCCCATTACTGTTTCATATTTTTTCTTTCTAGTTCTATCTCATCTCACTTTTAGGGGATTTTTGATCATTTTAACATAAAGAACATGGATTATAGTCCAAACTCTTTGCCAAACACTTTAACTTTTAATCCACTTGGGTTATCTACCTATGATTACTGCCCAAATGGATTATAACATAGGATTGCCAAACATGCCGTATGGTTGATGACCGAAGAGTTCATCTTAATGAAGGTTTTATGCTCAGGAGGAACTATGTTATTTGTATTTTTTGGTTATTGTTTTTAAATAATTATATTAATTCCATGATGTATAGAGTTAAACAGACACATACTGTCTTCATGATTTGCCAAAGTGACTTCTTCCGTCTTATTAAAAGTTTTTCCTATAAACTTTTAAACTTGGGAGAGACTTTGTTCATTCCTATACTGACACAAAGTTTATGTTTTGGATTGTCTTCAATATTATTATTAGCCTCTGTTTCTTGACCCTATTTATTATTTCCAATGCTACAGATATTTGATATGTATTTTCTACTGCCTGCAGGATATATAAGAGTAGTAATGAATATCGTTGCATTTTCTATTTGCTTTTCCAACAAATTGCTCTTTGCCATTTTATACTTCATCAGGTACTCGGAATAACTCCTACCCCGAAATAGCATCACTAGTCATTTATATATATACATTTTTTCTTTTTTTTCATTGTGTGCATATTGTAATTGTCAGCTTTGCTTGCGATGCATTGGATGGTTGGTTCGCACGGAAGTTTAACCAAGGTACACTTCACTCTCTTGACTCTCCCTCCCTCCCTGTCTCTCTCTCTCACAAACAAATATTCCATACATGCACCCTCCCCCTTGCACGTGCACGTACCTAGCCAACCAATATATCTCACATACACAAAAACATATGCATGAACTCAGTCAACTGACCAACCAACCACATCTGCATTCATCACGTGCATGTGCACCAAATATGCACAGTGAGAACTATTGCTTGACAATCATTTTCGAACATTTCTTTCTTTTGTGGTCATTGTTATCTATAAATTGTCTATTTTAAAATTTTACTCAAGTATAAGCTCTTTAATATATATTACAATTGGATGTCATTTTCATTTCACTTGTTTTTAGTATCTAATGCTCTACAGTTTGTGTCTCTCAGAAGTCATTATCCAGCAAATTAGCAATAATAACTGAATAAAGATACTGTTGAAGCATGGTTATCTGAGTATGTTATGTTTTCTAAGATGAATGCAATATCTTGTGCTTGAAAAAGCAATCTGAAGTTAAAATGGGTGTTAAAAAATGTTGTCTGGGGATGTTTCTTAGAATAACAGGACAGCTGAATTACCTATTGTTATTTATGGATATGGTCACATGTGACTGTCATAGTTGTTAATAAGTGGCATTGGTATTTTCAACAATTCAAAAATTGTATGGAAAGATTTTCCTGTCTGATATTTTTATTATTTGTCATTCCTGAAAAGGTATGCAAAATATTTTAGAACTCAAGTGTGGTGATATATTTTTGTTAAAAAAAATCATCATGGTTGCATCATAAGGAAATGATCTATTATATTGCTTCTAACTTCAACGTTGTAAGTATATAAATAAAATTTTACACATCACCTGTTATAATCATTCCTTTCCTATGTTAATCGTAATAGGTATCACAACTCGCAAGGAAACCATCATATCACAAGTCATAATAGCTTTCTATGCTTACATAGATTTACATGGTGTTTCCTTCATATATGACATTTGTCAGATGTAGTGTTGGGCTTGAGCCTATGTAGTTTAAACTCATCCTAGCCTATTTCTGATGTAGGTGGACATTTTATTATTAAATTTCTTTGATGTGTTAGACACTTTGAGGCATTAATTAAAAATTTTTTGACGAACCAAACACTGTGTCAAGCTTTCCATTTACTTATACAGTCATCATGTCAAGACAATATCACCCTTTTACAGCACAATATTATCTGGAAGAGGAATTTTGGTTCTCAAGTCTCAACCATGTCATTGAAGGTCTAATCACTTTTACTGAACAAGTTTAATCAATCAAGTAATTGAGGATATATAATCTATACTACTATAAAACGAGGATTGGGATGGTAAAATTTTTAATTTCCTCTTTTGCCCTCTTAACTTTTGATAAATTCTAAATATACCATTATCTCTAATTAATCTTTCAATAAATAAATATAACCACTTATTAATTGTGCATCTCCTCACTTTCCTAAATAATTGTAACTATCAATAATATTATAACTATTAATTGTTTAATAATAATATATTAAAATAATTATAGAATAACTATACATAATTATTAATAGTAATCAATTAAATTATTATTACTATAATTATTTATGAATTGTAATAAAATAATTTAAATATTAGTATACATAAGATAATGTATCACTAAATACTATTAAGAATTACATTATAATTCAATGAGCAATAAAATAAATAGAATAAATATCTAATAGCATAAATAGTTTAATTATTTTAATAATATCACATAAATTATGAGTTACAATATTTATTTAGAATTATATTATTAAATAAAGTAAATAAATAATTTAATATTAGTTTTAGAATATTTTCTTAAAAATTATTACATATACTGAATAATCTATACTTAGTAATGATTGTAAACTAACCTTTTTATAAAAAATTATTTAATATTAATAATAGTACTATTAACCATTAATGATAGTATACTTTGAAGTACTAATTTTTTTAAGAGCATAATTAAAAGTATTAAATTAGATAAATATTTTATAGTATATAGATAGTATAATTATTTTAATGGTATTACTTAAATTAAGAATTATAATATTAAATAATGTAAATTGTAGTAAACCCCAATGAACTTTCAACATCTTGCGGTAAATAGACTATAAAAAATTGAAATCACACTAAACCCCTAATAACTTTTGTAGAAAGCCCCTAATATCTTTTAGATAAATTTCGCCAAACCTCAAATAATTTTCAAAATGCCTTTTTATGCTATTTTTGGTTCCAATTTATAAGGGTTATTTGCAAAATTTAGAAAGTTATTAGGGTTTTCTTTAAAACAGAAAAGTTACTAGGGCTTTGTGATTTTGAAAGGTCACAGGGGCTGAAAGTTTATAATGGTTTAGTGTAATTTACCCTATTAAATAATTATAATGAGAAGTAACTATCGTAATATGTTGTTTGTATTAAGTGTAACTATTTAGAGAATGTCAGGAAAAAGCTAGCAATATTAATGAAGTTTAGTTAATTTAAGTTCAAGGTTATCGATAGCGGATAGCGTCGCGTAGTGGTAAGGCATCGCTAAGGTTATTTTGGGCTATTGTGACAAAATAACGGTAAAAGACACAAAGTCAAATAACGGTCTAATTTAGATATGTTACATATGTACTAAAAAAAGAAAAATTAAAAAAAATCTAAAAGTGCATATTGGATGATTTAAAGAGATCCTAAACATAAAATAGATATGTAACCATCACGTAATATCGAAGATGACTGGAGGAGTTAAAAAGTCGTCGTCTTTGAGAAGAAGAGCTTAGCGGTGACATGACTGTCCTAAGAGGAGCTCACGGTGAAGGAGATAAGAGAAAGTATCAAGGTAGGTGCCAGAAGCTATGAGAGGTAGCGGGAGTATGCTGAAAATCACAAAAGACGGTGGAATGCAATGGTCAAGGGTTGAGTTTAATTTAAAAAAAAATAAGCCTCAAAACCGCTTTTAAATAGCAGTCAAAAAGCAAAATTCGAATGTAACCGCTCACTATTTACTGTTATAACACTATTGACCGCTTTTACGAACAGACATATTCTGCAATATGTCATCACTATTGCGCGATAGCATAACGGGAAGGGACCGCTAAAGCTATTAGCACCGTTATTATAGAGCTATTTACCGCTATTTATAACAGTGTTTAATTTTAATAAATTTCATGTTAGTGGGGTATATTTAAGAGAACTTGTAGATTTGGTAGAGTTATTTAAGAATTATTGTAGATTTGGGGGATTTATATAAAAAAGGTTAGCATTGGACAATTATTATAAGAAACACCTTTAATAACATAATAATTATTAATTCATACATTTATTTTGAAGCAATCTTATTATACAATTTTATTTATTAACACATAAAAAATCAAAACTTAAACATCTACATTCACGTGCAAAGCACGTGCATTATACTAGTCTATATAAATAGAAGATCTATCCATGCCACAATGTCAAGAATCTAGGATGGTTTATGTGTCCGCCGCTAAATTTATAAAGCCGCTCCATAAAAGAAGCGACCAGAAATTTATTGCTAGATGGTTGGCAGTTCTATGTCGACCATTGTTAAATTGATGTCAAATTCTAGAGAAGGCGATGGTGGGCACATGAAAAGGACTAGCATGGGGACATCTTCCTATCTGCTCATGTTGTTTTAGCGTTGCGACCAATGTACAATCCTAGTTCTACTAGGAAAAAGTCATGAAAGATGATAACGTTTTCTGTGGAGAAACACATTCATCTTTGAGGTGTAATATAAATCTATGAGCCAAACGAAATGTCTTTGCATTTAAACTTTGTAATATATAACTTTGTGTTCATGCTGTAATGTCAACTGCACTCGTCCCATAAATTTAGTTAACCTAAATGATAAAAAAACTTTGTGGTTGTTGTAATTAAGATGTCTTGTATTGTTTCTCGGTTTCATACTGCAACTACATGTGAGAAAATCCCCAACTCTTCCTTAAAATTCTAGCTTCCTTTTTTAATCCTTGATCTCAAACCCCACTTTATGGTACAAGGGCATCATATGGAAGTGTATCATGTTGTTTGTTGAAAGTGTGTTTGAGTTTATATTGATGACATTTTTTATCTCTTTTGGTTAGCATGTCTGTGCTATGTATACAGTAGCCTTGTATACAAACTACATGGAAAATCTAAGTTCTCTTAGCAATACAACATAAAAACTTATGCCAATAGGATGCAATTGATGTATATCGTTTTCTTATCCAGTGTCAACTTTTGGAGCAGTCTTGGATATGATAACAGACAGGTGAATTTCTTAAAAGTTTATTCTGCTCATGTTTTTTTGATGTTTATGTGACTTATGCTTCATTAATGCATTCCTATAATTGTACTGTATATTTGATCATGCACTTGGCCTATCCGATGTGATTTCTGCCTTTATGCTCACAGAGTTAGCACTGCTTGTTTGTTGATGATCCTTTCTCAACTTTACAGGTATATTTATGATCTTTCACTTTACATGGTTTTTTTTTTATCGTATCATATTTGATTAGCTAAACCATGACGTTTACACCTTTGCAGACCTGGCTTGGTTTTCATGTCATTGCTGGGATTGGATATTGCTAGTCATTGGTTGCAAATGTACAGGTGTTGTCTATTTGCAGTGCTCAACATCTAATGCATAAATATTCATTTAATACAATATTTTATAATAAATTAGAGCAATAACATAATTGTAGACCTGACTTCTTGAGATCAAACTTGCAAAAGGTTTTGAAAAATACGATTGCAGAAAAACCTTCCCACACATTCTTTGTTTATCTCGCATGTACTTTTGGATCTTGTAAGTACAATTACACATGAAAAATTAAAGTTACTACACCATTCTACCTGATATCTGCTTTGATCATTTTGCCTTTGTTGAGGTTTCAGCTTGCTAAGAGTAGGATTTCCTTTTTATTTTTTCATAAGAACTTATTATAGCTAATATATCTTCATCAATGGTTTAAGCTACATTGCATGGATACGGGTACGTTACACAACACATTTATAAAAGGTAGGATATAGGGGCAGAACTAAAGCATTGGGAAAAAAAGAGTTGATACGCAAATGACCCTCTAAAATCGTAGTTCTACACTGAATATGTGCTGAAACGAACCCTACCTTTGTCCAATAAGTTTACAAAACTGGATGTGAAGTGTAGGATAAATATTGAAGTAATGTATAATGAGTATTTAAAGTTGAAACATGTATTGTATGATTGAGTACACATCTGAATAAATGTATGCATATATTCAAGGAGTGTCTAAGAAGCTCAGTGTCGTGGTACAGGATGTGTTAGGTATGAGTATGACTTCATGATAGTACCCACACAACATAGCGATTGAGCAACTTGTATAATTTGTGGACTAAGGCGACAAGGTCAGACAAATCTATAGGATCTATGACTTGGGCATCTTTGGTTTTGACCTTGTTCCTACATGGCACATCAGATCATGAAGCCTTGTTCGTGGATATATCATCATGCAAAAAATGTTGGTGGCCAACTTTTAGAAAGCTAAGCTATTAGATGACACTCCTTATCCTTCAGTAACAGAAGTGTTGAGCTTCTGGAATTAGTGTCTTAACAATTGCAAATCTAGTAATAAAAGTAAAATGTATAGGTAAGTGTGTAAAAGATAAATTTAAAACTTATAGTGTTGCATTGTACAGTATATGATATATCATTATCCATTAAATAAAAAGAGGCGATTACATAGTTAAGATGAATTTGTTTATGAGAGAATTTAGGTGTTTTTATTCATTTTCATGTCATGTGGAAGAATAAGAACTAGCAGATGATACTGAAGCTAACAAGTAACAGCTAAGTTAATAAGTAGTAGCTGAAGTTAATAAATCACTAGTTATTAACTTCGGCCATCTTTTTGTTAAATTTAACAGTTTTTATTAACTTTTGTTATTTTTGTTAACTTTAGTTGTTTTTGTTAACCTTAGGTCCTTAGCTATTATTTTGTTAACTTTACCGGTTAATGTTAACTTTGGTGCGACTTTAATGGAGGACGGCTTTGACTAAGGGAGACGCCCTTCATGAGAGGGTGGTTGAGGAAGGAGGAGAAGAGATAGTTGAGAAAAGGAGAGGACAAAGGTAGGCATGACCAATGGGATGAATTGTGTCAAATTCGTCTTCTGCTGGAGTTGTACAGTACGAGTGGATTTTCTTAGTCACGAATTGGGTATTTGGACCCAATCATGACCCATCGCGTGACGATACGAGCCTCTCTCATCTCTTCACGAGAGTAGTGATTTGCTGAATATTTTTTACTTTTTATTCTTTTGAAAATCTCCCCTTTTTTTGTTCTTCCATTTTTTCTAGACTAGTATTTTTTGAGTTATATTAAAACTTATATTTGATAATAATGTGATACAAGTGTAACCATTACAAAAAATAAGGAGAAATAAATGGAAGAAATATTTCATAAATAATATAATAGGTTCACACAATCATTCAAAATACATTTGAGCTAAAAAGAAAATTTTATTATAAATAGTTTTGAAGCATTTTGCAAGATTTTCTAAAAGCGATAGTGATAGACTAGATATCTTCAATATTTTGGTGACTTTATCAACTTTGAGTTGTGCAAATATTGAAGTTGCTTCCTCGCTAATCAGCATTGTCTTCTTCAAACTCTTCATCAAAGGAAGATATTCCTTGCTTCTGTCTTTCCGCATAGCCAACTCCTAATGCATTGGTGTCAATCGGCTCCTTTGATTCGTAGAATACTCTACCACCTGCAGAAAAAGCACTCTCAGATACAACTATAGATGCTAGAGGTGTTAATATATTACGTGCCATGATGGACAACATAGGAGTAGATTACTAAGCCTGTTTATATGTACATAGAATTAACAAAAAAAATTCTATCAATCATCAACATTTCGCACCGTTCATCTTATAACGTTAGCTATAAAAACATTTGAATTGTCTACAAGTATATTCATTAATGTACATTAGGGTTTTTTTCTTGGAAACCACCTTAAAAATAGAGCCATTTTATAGGAACCGCATTTGATTTTCAATTTATATGTGAACCACATTTAAAGTGAATTTTTGTTCTAATCAACCACCTTCTAGCCTAATCTTCACTAAAAAACCAAAATTAATCTTATAAAATGCAAGTTTATGGTATGTGACCTGTATTCTAACTAGACCTAAATATTAACAAAGTGAGTAGCTTGTATTGAATGTGAGTTTTAAGGGTTTTTGGGTTTTTGTTGAAAATTTTGACTTAGAGGTGGTTGATTGGAACGAACACCTACGTTAAAGCTGGTTTACATGTGAATTGAAAATGATAGGTAGTTTCTGTAAAATGACCTTATTTTTAAGGTGGTTACTAGGGAAAAAAACCTTTATATTAACGTGCTGAGTTAGTTGAGTGGCAAAACACTTCATAATACAGTGTAGGTATCTCATAGGACTACTCCCACACCACCAAATAAGCAAATGATTAAATATTCTTTTGAGTCACATTACTTGTAATAATATTACTTTTTCTCATCAATTTTTAATTGTCAAGTTTCTTCTGACATAATTGGACACCCCCGAATTGCCAATTATATAACAACTTAAGCTTGGTTGTTAATCAAATACTACGTTGAGCCAATAGAGGATTAATACAAAAATTATCCTACATGCCTCAAAAGGGTTGTGGAAAATAGGAGAACTCTATTATCATTTTAAACAATAATTCATCCTCATTTAATTAGTGTAGCTCAACAGTTACATCAGATTATATTAGTATGATATACTCGATATCAAATTCAACTATCCTCAAATATTTGGATAGATGTGTTTACAATCCAATACTAAGAGTTCCAAACAATTAACAAATGCTAAGAGTTCACTATACATGTTGTTGACAATGGTAGGTCTTAAAATATGTAAAAACCTGAAAATAAACCCTTTAGCTGACTATGATTAAAAGTCAAGTAGCTGGGAAGATTCTAAAAGATATACAATGAATCATAACTTCAAACAACAATCATAACTAAGTCTAAACGTCTGAGAACAAGCCATTAGACATCTGAAAATCGAACCAGATGTCTAGAAATCTAGTTCAGACATCTTTGTATATTTTTTCTCAATATTTGGGTTTCTGTCAACTCAAAACCAAAGCACTGATAATAATTCCAGATGTGCGATCTATAACCAGATGTCTGGCGTCAGACAACCAGATGTCCGAATTCATTCAGACGTACGATATTGCACGATCAGTCGGCTGCATCGATGCTGTGCATGCATGATTGATCGGTTTCGCATTGATTCTTCGTTGTTTCTTTGCTGTTTCACCTCCAGTCTTCTCGTACGCCTTTGAGCATATTTAGGGAACTAATTGGAACTTTCTAAACCTTGTTACTAAGTCTAAAAGGGAGCAACTATAAGAAACTAGGGTTTCGTGCACCTTTGTGCATGTTTCAATAGATTTTGGTATTTCAAATGTTTTCATAAGGGATAAAACCTATTTGATCTAATATTATCATACTCTAAACATCTAAAAACATCAGCTATAAAGCTTACAGTATTTTACACGAATTTCTAGGTTTTTTTAAATCATCGCAGCAAATAAAATAGAATGCGACTTACATATAATGCGTGTAAGAGATTTCAGAATCAAAAGAATGAAGAGCAACTTTTACTTGCCTTGGGGTCTAACGACATAGATCTTGCAATACGTTTCGTAGGAACAAGATCTGAACTTTCTCCTCCATTGTTGTCGTCGCCATAGCGATAGATGAATAGTGAAGGAATGCCATGCATGGAAGACTTCATCTTCTCTCTATCTCCCTTATTTCCTCTCTCTACTCCACTTTCTCCCTCTTCTTTCTCTCTCCTCAGCTCTCTCTTGTCTTCTGTTCTCGGCCACACAAACACAAGAAGAAGAGGCGACAACAAATTGAAAAAAGAATAATATGAGAAGGGTTTTTAATTCCTGACATATACGCATACATAGGAATGGATAATGGGCCTTGAAATATCATCTTGGGCCTTGATAATTTATCATGTGCACTCTCAACATGTGCACATGATTATTCTCTCAAGGTTAGATACTATAAAGTCTCAAATGACAAAAGGATATCAATTTTATTTATAATAGATTATTGAATTTAATTTAATAATTCATAATAATTAATAGAGACCTTGAAAATTTATATAAAAATTATACGAGTCCTCTATAGCTAGTGCTAATGGCACGATTTGAAGCTGAATTAGCACGAAACTCATTTCAAGTTTAACTAGTATAGACACCCCAAAAGACTATTTATTTAATAACTCATATATTTCCGAGTTATTTATGACAAATTTCTTAATAGAAATAATTTACTTAATTTCTAAAGGAATTCTCAAAGACACCGGAATATTGTAACAACATTTCACAGGCGTTACAAACCCGCTCCATTAGCCACCCCTAGATGAAGGTGACATGGATTAATGATAATTGGTTAATGGGTTTCATTGGAAGTATCAGCATAGTAGGAGAGGAGGTGAGAAGTTGAAAATGAGGGCATTTTAGGAATGTGCCAAAAAGGAGGTGGTGGTAGCATGATTTTTTTGGATCAAGAGGGTTAAAAGCATGAGAAAAGTTTCAAGTGTGGAGGAAGCATGATTTTCAAATGCAAGGAGCAAGAAGCAAATTTCCCTTAAAAAATGTGCTTTTACGGCATTATGTGGGCTAGCAACATTTGCTTTTCCTGATGGGGACGCATGATTTTGTTATTTTATTTATCATGATATTGTTATCTGTATACTTCTATGTTTCTCATGGTTTTGCTATTTCAGTACATTCTTATCAGGCCAGGCTAGTCATAAAGATGTTAAGGACAAAAGTAATTTGCTTTTGAGAGCATATTATAAGCATCGTCCTTTCATGGCCTTCTGTTGTGTGGGCTCTGAGGTAAAAATTCTTGCAAAGTATTTAAAGGTTTAACCTTATCCATGAGCTCCTTTCTGTTAGCTGAATCTATTGTTATTTTCCAGGTTCTTTACATCATCCTCTTCCTTCTTCATGAGCACCCATCTGGGAGCATTATTGACGTAACCTACTGTGCTCTGTCTAATATTGCTTTTCCAGAATGGATAGGAAAATTTTCCCTTATTGTTGTTCTTTGATATTTGTTCATTGATAGGTTTGTGTGAATGCTGTGAGATCCAATATTGTTTTAGCCGTGCCACTGTTTTTGTCTGCCTTTGGATGTGCAATCAAGCAAGCAGTTAATGTTATACAGGTATCCATAATTTAGTGGCCTACCTCACTTTTTTAGTTGCACTGAATGCTTGAAACTTTGCTTTGGTTGTTGGCCTTAAGTTCCTTTCGAAACTCATGACAATGGATTTTCCACTGCTATTTTCTATAGTTTTTGTTATATTTACTAGTTGCATAAGTTATTTAAGTTTTCTTTGGAGGCTGTGGTCTGTTTTTAATTGAGAACATCTTCTATTTCTCCTTTCAGCCTATTTTATCTGCAAAAGTAGTTCAATTAAATAGTTTAATTGTTTTCTACATATGATAAAGCTCTGAATTTTTTACTTTTTGCTTTCCATTTCGACAACCTTTGTTTTGTCAAATTTGTAGGAATACAGGAAATTTATTGTTGACAGATAGTTTCAAGCACACATTTTACAAATCTGCTATGGACTGCATGTTACAGATTGACATGTATAAGATACAGTGGCAACATTAGAAACATATCTCATTGTTCGGCCTTGATGCTAGTGCATCAAGTAAAGCATGTTTTCCTAAATTTCTTTCAAGTAAAGCATGTGCTTGCCTTGACACCAGTCCATAAAGTAAAGCATGTGCTTGGTGGGTGGTTAGTTAAAGGAGTCAAGTTGAGTAGATTGGTGGTAATATGGGTCCACTGGTTGGAGTTCAGAATTGCAAAGCAGATAGTTACAGGGAAGTAGTTTCAACTGGATAAGAAAATCAACTTTGAGAGTGTGTTTCAAAATGAACATTGACCTCATTCTGCTGGAAATATAATTATGTATATAGTCTAGAAAGAGGGGATTACCATAGAGCATAAATTCTTGCTATATGCTGTGAATACTTTCATATGTTTCCTGTATAACTTAATTCAAAATAGAGACCGGTCAAGCTCATGCTTACTGTTCATGTCATGACTTAACAATGAACATGAGTGGATATTACTCATTTGGTTCCTCTTCTCTAAAATGGTTATCTAGTTTTAACTAGCGGACCAAACGAATTCTGTGACTAGTGGGTACAGATGTTATATCCAGATGGAGTGTCAGAAATAACTCACCATATTGTCTAATCTTTTCTTCTTGTTCCTCCATTAAACTTGATTTAAGTGCCACCTCCATTGTCAAATCAGCAAGAAACCATGCAATTTTTACCGCAGCAACCCATCTTTGTTCTAGTCTTCCCCTAGTCTTTAGTCTTCTGTATTGGATTCTAAAACCGTTGCTGGCAGTCTTAGTAGTCTCCATTGAACAGTCATCTCAAGTGAATACGGTCACCTTATCCTTAATTGAAGACACAATTTCAAATTTATCAGAGTAGGTGTCTGTTGCTCATTTAGTTAAAGAACAAATCAGCAAGAGCTGCTTACAAAGTTTGCGCATGTGCAACAGAGGGAGTAGTTGTGAGAGTAGAGTCGAAGGAGCAGCTAGGAGTAGACATGCACCAATATTGAGCATGGATTGAGACACTAAAAAAATTTGCTGCTCTGTAATTTGACAAAAAAGACATCCCTTAAAGTAACTGAATGGAAAAAAGGTTTCATGGGTCTGAACCCAAAACTTTGAAAATCACTTAACCACTCTACCTTACAGGATAAGTCGATTAGAGTTGGAAGAGCTACGGTTATTAAGTAGACCAAAGTAAACATGGATCAAGACAATAAAAAGATGTCGTGATTGGTAATTTGATAGACAAGATATTCACAATTGATCCGAATGGAATAAAGGATTCATGGAGCAGATTCAAAATTTTGGGGTAAAAGGCTTTGCTTTTTGACTTGTTATAATAACTTTGTAAAATTAGATGGTTTTGTCCTCGGTCATTTTTCCAATTGCAGTATGGATTTAGTTTATTCATTGTTCTGTTATAAAAGTTACAACTTACTGTCCTTCATCATTTAGAGAAAATAACTATTGTACCTATCTATTGCTTCTTTCATCACTTTTTTATTACTGTCTGTTCGTACCTATTAATTCAGTATATGCAAGATGCTATGGGTATATCTTGTCTGCTATTCTTATATTGTTCTTGGCATTCATTTAGCATCTTTAATAATTTTTCAAATTGTATAGTAGTTTTACAGTGGATACTTTGACATATTAACTTTATTATCAGCTATTAATACATAGGCTATACCAACGTTTGATCTTGTTTTCTTCAGATGATGACAGCAGCAGATGTATGTGTACTTTATGATATGGAAAGAGAGAAGAAACAATGAACCACCAACTTGATACAGTACTCTGTTTCCATTTTTGACATGTATTTGGAAAACTTTGGTTGTCCATCAAGATAACATCTGCAGGCTTAGTAATCTCGGTTTCACATGACCCTTTTTGGAGAGTGCATCTGCAGCTGATGATCCATTTGGCGCAATACTGCAACATTCTTTTGATACAAAGAGATCACCGTGATTAGCTTCACCAGATCTACACTTTGATGCTTTTCGGTTTTGCATGTAATTAATATTAACAATAGATTATGTTATTTGTTCACTGCTATAAAGGTTCCTAGCAAAAACATTGACATGATTCTCACCATGTAGCATCTCTGGCAGAGAGACTGCTTGTTTGTATGTCATTGGCAAAGAGAAGAGAGACTTAATGAGACATAAGAGAAGTAAATTTTCGGTTAGCGTTCAATGAACGACTTATTCTTGCTCCGGAAAGTAGAATACAACTTGACTCAGATACATGATATGTCGAAACTCCATTTGATGGTTCATTCCTACTGTTCTATTACCGGTCTTAATTCTATTCTGACAATATTAATAGTCCCGCCTCCGTCAGACTTCTATTTACTGGTTTCGTTTTCTCTTTGTTCCTTTAGTAAAAGTGAATTCTGAGTTTCATAGTAAAACTGACCGAGATTGGAGTTGGTGTTTCCTAGTGAGGCTTCAAATGATGATTCCAATACATTTATAGTTTTACTGTTGGTGCCAACGCTTATTTCTTATACTTTTTTTTTTTTGAAAAAGAGAGAGCACTTTTTTCAGAATTGTGGTCATATCTTTTTTCTTTCCTGGGGATCAGTTTCGGATATGATTCTTTGTTTCTGCATAGCATAAGTTTTCTATTCACGTGACATTTGGATTGGCTTCTGCATTGCTTCATATAATAAGTTTGTAAAACCATGAAGATTGATTCAGTACCAAAGATTGTGAAGCAATTTGAAACCAAGCATTACTTTATTCCAAAGTCTGGATTTACTTTGAAATAAGCTCTGGTGTTGAGCAGTTTCTAATCTGATAGGATTCCGAGGAGCCTTCACCATATAAAAGAGAGGGTCGCCGTCAAATTCATGTTAATTTCTATAGGAAGAGACGGCATACGGTTTTATTGTCCTTGGAGATAGAGGGGGACCATTCTCCTCAATGCGAAAATTAATTCCAAAATAAATGGTCTATTTTCATGTGCATACGCCTGCCAACAAAAATAACCCAGTAGGGAGTCTACAGGGACCAACTGTTTCATGGGCCCTGTAGGTTTTAGTAGCTTGGTTCTCTTTGACAATTCGTTCCCCAAACTAGACGTCAACAGAAAATGTGACGTTAAGAGCATCTCCAACAGCTTCCCCATTTTTTATTTTTGGAGAATTTAATTAGGTTTTTGGCCCAACAGATTCCCCATCTCATTCCCCAAAATGGGGATGGAGGAAAAAAAATGGGGAAGCTTCCCCAAATCTGCAGCATTCTCCAAATTTTTGGAGGAAAAAAGGGATTCTTCAAAATAGGGAAGCTGTTAGATTTGGTGTAAAAATTAGTTGGAGAATATGACTTTTGCTTCCCTATTTTGGAGAAAATTTTGGAGAAGCTGTTGGAGGTGCTCTAACGTCCGCAGCATATAGCTTGGCTTGAAGCCTTTTCATAATCGCATTATTACTCAAAAATAGTTCTAACTATTGGAATTTTTTTTCTACTCTAGTTAAATCTATCCGCACGTCTAAAACAAAGAAAGAAACAACAAACGTGACAAAGCAATGCATACGTACAAACATCACCATCAATCCACACATTCTACTATCCCAAAGTTTTCGTAAGCGACGCGAGCTTTTGATTTATTACTGAGTTGTGGATAACTCCCTCTCTATAGATATATTATTATTATATAATAATAAAGGGGTAACAAATACATACAAAAACGGTAGAACGGGATATTATATTTAACTTTTCCTAGGCGCTCTATTGAACCAACAGTTGATTTGAAACTTATTCTTTATGTCCGCAAAATGAATGAACGAATGAGAGAGAGAGAGAGGGAAGAGGCCAAAACGAAGAGCTGAAAGGGGCTTTTCACCTTCCAAGCGTCCGAAACAACCCTGCAAACAAGCCAATCTCTCTCTAAAAAAAACTCACCTCTCTCTCTCTCTCTCTCTCTCTGAAAAATTTTAACTTATTTTAGAGAGAGGGGGGGAGAGAGAGAGGGGGGGACGTCATTCTTTCTCCTGTGTCCCAAAGCAAGAGGACCCTTCTCCTTCTCCCCCTCCTCAATGGACCCATACGCCCCTACCCCACAACCTCCATCCTCCATGAGGCCGAGGGCATTCTCGTCAATGTAGCCTCTGAACATCGCATTGTAGCTTAGAAAGGCAGACAGAATGGAGCCAGGCAATGGAAACAGCAACGGAGGAGGAAGAGTAGAGGTAAAAATGTGAGTATATGGTCAAGTGTAAATGTATTCTGTTCTCTCTCCTTCCTCTCTCTCTCTCTCTCTCTGTGCGTTTTTTTCCCCTCCTCCTTTGGTACTGTAAACAGTGAATATTTTGGGATTTTGCTTTAAATTACTTGCTTTATTATGTTAATATTGGTGGGGTTTTGATTGAAATGCTTAAATGGGGTTCCCCCCCTTTGATTATGATTGTGGTCCTGTGGTAAGATGTGATGTTAGTTCCTTTTTAGATTATAAAGTTTGTGGACCATTGTTTTTACTTTTAGATGTGATCCAAAGCCTGTTAATGCAATTTGTAGATCATCTTCTTACGTTATGCCATCGTTATTCCCATGAGATTGATGCCCTTTATTCCTTGGATTATATATTTATCTGGATTCAGTATCTATTTTTCATGGCAATAGTTGCTTGATATCAGAGAACTGATAAATTTTGTTTTTACTTGCTTGTCCTTTGTATCATCCTTTATAAAATTTTAAATTTTATTTTCCATGCTTATTTCAGATAACTCGAGTATGGAAATATCAGGCATAGTTACGCGTACACAATTGATGTTTGTAGGTGTTTTTGGCATGTATACAATGCTTAGCCCCCATTGCGGACGGTACATTGTTAATGGCTAGAAGCAGGTATCAGCGATGTAAAATGCGTGATTGCTTTAACTGTTTTTATATAATAAAAGTTTATACTAAAAAAATCCATTAGAGAAACATCTCAAGGTGCATGATAAGGAGTTTCCCGATCCTACACAAAAGTGATCCCGACTTGGAGAATATATCCGTAAACCAGAGAAGTACATATATCACGAAAGAAAAAACTCCCCACAACAAAAAACTCTAAAGTATGGAAACGCTAGGCATATTCAGGCATACACGATTGATGTTTATAAGTGCTTTTGGCATGTATAAAATTGTTTAACCTCCATTGTTGAGGGTACATTACTAATGGCTAGGGGCAGTTAGTAGTGTTGTGCGCGTCGCGGAAGCGTGACAACCAAACGGGCGTGCTTCGAGAACCAAATCAAACAAACGTCGAGATAAAGGCCAAACAAATCAAAACAACGGTACAAATCCAAACACAATAGTTTTACGTGGTTCAACAATTGCCTACGTCCACGGGGCAAGAAGGGGATGAGGTTTTTCACTAATAGAGAAAGAGTACAAACTGAGATTATAAATCATTCGAAGGAACAAACTAATCTCACCAACAAGCTCTTAATCTCTCCAAACAAAACCCTAAACAAATAGCTCAGAAAATATCTCTTTTCTGTGCCCCAAATATCCCCAATTTTTCTTCTCTACCAATTTTCTCTTCCAATTGTTCCATATATATAGAAATCCTAAAATCATAAACATACTAGGAATTCTAAACCAAAACTAAATCAAATTAGGAATCCTAATAACCTATTACCAAAATAGATTAGGAATCCTAATAATCTCATGTTACCAAAATAGACTAGGAATCTTAATAACCTCTTGTTATCAAAATAGATTAGGAATTCCCTATCCAATAATTCTTCACCTCGGCGAAGTTTTTTTCAAAACTGAGCCGACACCGACCAAACCAAATGCCTCACTTGTTGCGTCCAGTACGCCACGGCAACGGACTCATGACAACGGACTCCATCCACATAAGTCGAGACCCAAACGGGAGTGCGAACACTCACCTAAACGTCAGTATCTACTCACCAAATCGGCTGCATCAAAACTGACTGCCTATGTATCCTCTTGCCCAAGGAATCAAGCCTTCACGTAGTTCACCCAAATGGCCTCCAAAGGCCCTCAAACAAATAGAAAAGTCTGCAACTCTTCACCAATATCATCTGTATTCAAATCCAAATGATCCCCAATCTGTGTCACTTCAGCTGGAATCTCAAACGATGCAGTATGATCTGGAGTTTCCTCCTAATGTGGAGTAGCATCACTCTCTACCCGCTGCGATGTCCCAAAGATCTGATCATCACTCTCCACCTGCCGAGAGTCAAACGTGGCATACCTGCTCAGAATAAAGTCAGAAGCCAATATCTGATAATCAAACACGTCTTTGAATCCCAAATGTGCTATCGGATCAAATCTCACATCCACGATGTGATCGAGTGCTGGGCAGCCAAACATCCGACGCAACCCAAAATCTGAAACAGCTCCACTAGATCCCATATCTATACATGCAGCAGTCGGCAACCTATACATGAGACGGCCCAAACATGTCGTAGCCTGCACACCAATGCCAATGCTCAACATCAAACGTTAATCCTCCTCCAGAAAGGAACAACTACCTGAATCTGCCATCTCGCCTTGTCGCCTCAAAGTTTCCACACCAATGAAGTGTCTCCTATTGCCGTGAGCTCGGCACAAATGCAAGAAAGAACCCCTACCATAATCAGAACGTCGGGTTACCTTTCTACCAACACACTTTCTCCATCTGTTGCGGGATTCTAGGACTTCACACCAACGGGATTTGATTGTAACCCACCAATGCCTAGAGCAATCCCCAACTGTGGAAACTACATACGTATTACCTCCCAATAATGCTCCCTTGGAAGGCTCCCGAATGCCTAAATGAACACCCCTCAGAAAAACCCTCGAATGATGGATAGAAGTGCCAAACTCCACCTCGGTCTTCTCGCTCATACCAATGGGTTCACAAGATTTCAATATGCAGGTCAATGGCACTTCTCAATAATCCAATGCACCGTATCAATAAACAAATAACCCAGCTTTAAATCCTTCTATTTCGGCCAACTATCTCAAAGCATCAACAAATGAAGAATAGATCCAAACTGATAAAGGAGAGAATTTTACCTCCAAATGAAACCCTAACAAGAGTCTCCAAATGATCTCACCCCGCACGACGGCAACGAGATCCACAAATAGGAAAAATCTCACTTTTATTTGCAAACGAAGCCCTCGAAGAGCCTCCAAAGCGATCTACTCCTCCAAATAGCTCAAGCACCAACAAACCAATGCGGAATAAACGAAGAATAGATCCAAACTAAAAAAGATAGAGTCTTTACCAAAAAGATCCCACCTTTCTCACCAAACGAAGCCCTAGTTGAACTTCCAAATTGATCTACTCCTCCAAATAGCCCAAGCGTAGCCCGAGCTCTGATACCACTTGTTGTGCGCGTCGCGGAAGCGTGACAACCAAACGGGCGTGCTTCGCGAACCAAATCAAACAAACATCGAGATAAAGGCCAAACAAATCAAAACAACGGCACAAATCCAAACACAATAGTTTTACGTGGTTCGGTAATTGCCTACGTCCACGGGGCAAGAAGAGGATGGGGTTTTCACTAATAGAGAATGAGTACAAACTGAGATTACAAATCACTCGAAGGAACAAACTAATCTCACCAACAAGCTCTTAATCTCTCCAAACAAAACCCTAAACAAATAGCTCAGAAAATACCTCTTTTCTGTGCTCCAAATATCCCCAATTTTTCTTCTCCACTAATTTTCTCTTCCAATTGTTCCATATATATAGAAATCCTAAAATCATAAACATACTAGGAATTCTAAACCAAAACCAAATCAAATTAGGAATCCTAATAACCTATTACCAAAATAGATTAGGAATCCTAATAATCTCATGTTACCAAAATAGACTAGGAATCCTAATAACCTCTTGTTACCAAAATAGATTAGGAATTCCCTATCCAACAAGTAGCAATCTAAAATGTGTGCTAACTTTAACTATCTTTTATGAATTAAATGGTATTTCGTTGAAAAGCTTTTAGTGAAACATCTCAAGGTACATTGTAAAGAGGTGTTCAATCCTAGACAAGAAGTTACTCTAGCTCCTAGAGAACACCGATAATCCTGAGAAGTACAAATATTACAACAGCAAAAAGAACTTCTTCCGAAGGAATAAAAGAAAAAAAATCTGACAGAACCAAAGACTAGTTCTAATGAACAAAAGTCAGGATGTTGATGGCAAGTGACAACTCAATCGTCTTTCATGCTATCCTCCACTGCTGTTGTTGTTTGTCCTATAAGAACTAAGAGTGTTGCTTTTCTAGTGTACATATACGAGGAATAGTATCTTGCCAAACCTTTGTTTAAATCAAATACTAATGCTCAGTCAATTAGATGAAACATGAATGCAGAGAAGTAAGAGAGGATTTTCATATCAATCAGGATTGAACTGTTATTGCCTTATTGGAATGCTTGTGACAATAGGTTTAAACCATAAATGTCATGTATTTTTCATATGATAGCCTATGACATATTTAAATTGAAAAAATGAATAATGTGGGAGAATAAAAATATCCATGACAGTTTCTATTGCCGAAGTGAATCATTTGATTATATATTTCTGATGTTCATCTTTGGCTTACTCTTTACACTGAAAGGAACCTGATGAAATACATGGGGATCTTCGTCTTTTTAATTCCATTATACCTGTGTAATAGTTATAGACTTATAGGAAGATTCATCAAATTTCCTTATTAACGGTCATTATCCATGAGGCAGGGATAATCACCTAAGCCATTTAAGTGCATATATGTCCAGGTGAGAAAACCAACCATTTTAAGATGCTGAATACATATTATTGTTAAAATTTCTGCAGTTAATAACAAAATACTGTACTGCAGTTAGTTCTTTTATCTACTTAGTTGATTGCTTCTATTTTGGTCATTATGTTTAACTACCACCTACTTAGTCAGAGCACGCCATGATGCTTATGGGATGTTTGTGTTAACTATATATTATTTCTACTTAGTTGCAAATAGATTATGGCTTACTGGATTTATGCTTCTACTATATCCTTTAGTTTTATGTTGTTTAGTACAACCATATGGTTTGACAGTAATAATGTCTAACTTTCTACATTATCTCATAGGTTTTAGCATATGTTTGTCTAGCTTCGTATAATGATTGAGAGAGATGCTTCACCCTCATAAATTTTCTCTACTTTGCAATTCCTAATACTTTATGACAGTTTACATTCTGATGATGAATCCCCCCCCACCCCCCCAAAAAACCCCCCAAAAAAAAGCTTTAAAAAAAGAAAGAAAGATTGATAGATGTGGTTGTTGACTAGAATGTTGTGTGAAACTGAATTTTTGTTTGGATGAACAGAGAACATCTTTGGTGTACCTTTTAGTATCTATGTATGGAGTTTCTTTGAAGGCTATTAGGAAAAAGAAAAGTTCCGTGACATCACATTGGTTTTTTTTTTTTGGCTTGAGAAAAGTTCGTCTTGAAATTTAGGAATTAAAGAAATATTCTTTATCATTTACTTCATTTGATGTTGGAGTTTCTAATGGCTAATTTGAGTGGTTGTTGGTCTCTAATAATGTTGAGTTGAAAGAACTAGTTTGGTTGCTTATTGGTCTCTAATTCGTTGTTGGTTTTCTCAAAAACTCAAAAGGGTTAGTTTTTTCCTTTAAAAAAAACAAAAAACCAAAAAACCATAAGGGGAGGGTGTGTGATCTCCTGCCTTTTTCTTCTGTATCTTGTTTGAGACATGGAATATTATCTTGATTTCTTTCGATGGAGGCACTTCTCTGAAGTTGTCTTAGCTTGTTCTGATTTTTTTTTTTAAAATCCAATCTTCATATTTTAGTTATTCTACAAAAATTTCCAATGCCATTGACCTGTGAAAGCATTTGACTTTTGCCATGGTTGTTTCATGACAAAGTACTTATCGACAAAAATTGACTAGCATTTGCATTTTCTCCTGTGCTTCAAATTTGTCGACCACTCTCACTCACTTTGCATATGTTCCAAATAATGCAAATAGGACCAATAGAAGAATCATGGTTTCTGATGCCGTTATGCGCATTCACCCAATCTAATGACATGATTTGCTCGTGGTGCATGAAAGTAAATTAATGGTCAGCTATGGTGTTGAAGGAATTGGACAACTTTAGTCCTTCAAATGGTTGTTTCTCAAGCTTTGTTGCTTCACTTTCTAACTGACATTCCAGTTCTTCTATAATGATAACTGACATTCCAGTTCTTCTATAATGATAACTTTATCTTTTATGCGTTACGCGGATAGACCCCTGTAGTATCGCTGTTTTGAACATACTAACCCTCTAGTTTNACCCCCCCCCCCCCCCCCCCGACACACACACACACATAAAAAAAAAAGGAAAGAAAAAGAAAAAAAGAAAGCCCAAAACAATCTCCTGTGTGAAATAAAATCCAAAACAACCTCCAATGTGAAATAGTTTCGACTCTTTTATTCTCAGAGAAATAAAATTGATCTTTGAGAAATACAATCCCTAATGGTAAAAAAAAAGTCAATAGCACACAAGGGGTCTGCAAAAATAGAACGAGAGGGCTAGTAAGTTCAGAATAGCAATACTACATGTCTATCTGCAATGCTCCTTTTCTGTCGCTATTGTAATACAATGTTTCCAATTTGAAGTTGCTTTGTGTTATCAACTACTTGTTGTTGATTTGACTTGCTTAAGTAGAATCTTCTCAAACCTTTTCTTTTAGCATGTAGGTGAAAGGTAATGTCATCCACCATAGAAGGTTCTTGAACACTAAGAGAACTATGTTGAAGTACATCAGTTAAATTTCCTTTAAGTAAACATAACTTCGAATATTTCGCTAGATATATGTTGCTCTGTTTTCTACCAATGTGCTCACTTAGAAGCAGAATTACTACACTAGAACCTAGTCGTTGATTTCGGGTGAAAACTTGAGTTAACCCTGCCATATTTGATGGTATTCTTTGTTTACTTCTTTAATATTTGTGAAGTGAGATGAATTCTTTTGATCTTATAAGCACATAGCTGCTTCTTATCCACCTAATTCTTTTATAATAATATTTACATTGGTAGATCGATTGCATTACATTGCAACTCACTTTAGACTTGTTAGTTATCAGCCACTATCCTTTATCTTTTGAAGTAGTGCAAAAATATTCTACTAAGTTATTCTCCTTATACTTTGATAGTAATAAACTGCACAAAATTTACTCAATCATATGAGTATATATGCCTAACCTGTTTTACCTGGTTTTGTCTTGAAATTCACTTTTTCTTCATATTCTTCATATATACAGGGTTAGGTGTACCCTTCGCATGTCATATCTTGGAAAATTCTCTCCTCACTTGGTGCCACCTAAAATTCTAGCATTCTGATCACCATGAATCTTTTGCCATATTGTTCTAATTTTTCTTCTGCACAGTTTGGCCGTTCAAAATTTTTTTGTTTACTTGATTGATAGGTCTCTAACCAGTTGTGTTATTTGATTCCATTTGGATATATCTACTATTTTTCCTGCATTAAATCTCTGGACACAATCTGGCTTCTTCATCAGTCAATTTGCTTAAATTTCCTTTTTTTTTTAATGCTTATGCTGTCATTGGTAGATTTATAGTGCTCCTCTCGTTATATTATTAAGAGAAGCAAGCATATAGACGGAATACCTTCTTCTCTGGCTGATCTTTTATTTCATGCTTAGGATAAAGTAGTTGTCTTAAAGAGAAGGGATATTTTGACATCTGGATATTATTAGTAAAGTTACTTAGAGATCTTATGGCTTGATTTATTGATATTTGGATATTATTATTAAACTTATTTAGAGATCTTATCGATTGATTAGTTTGAAGCAGACCGCGATCCTATATAGGAGGCAATGATTTAATTACTAATTGGTTGAACCTGGAAAATTAGTTTAATGGGCGAATTTGACTTTTTGTCGTTAGCTTCAGTTGAACTTTCATATTTCTATCTTAATATATTTTTCAAATTGAACTTTGCTTCTAATTGTGGCCATGCTAGTATAGTATTAGTTCAAACATGCTGTCAGAACTTATCTGAGTGTGCCAGCTGTAGTATAGAAAGGATGGAATATGTGCTCTTCAACTCCATTACTCAATACACCAATCTATTTATTTCATTTATAATGATTATGTTATGTATTTATAATTTATATTTACTCTTAACTGTACTTTTGTGAAGCAGTTTTGAGTTGTTTTCCTACCACTTGCCTGTTAATGAAGTGTGAAAATTCTGAAAATGGAAATGCAACAAGTGACAATAGTTACTCTTCTTTAATGTGTATAATTTTCCCCTTTTTCCTCCTTTCCTGACAATTTTGATAAGCTGTGTTGTGACTGTCACTGTTCCTGCACGTGACTCAAGCTTCTACCCTTGTGTTACATAACCAGACTCTAAAGGCCAAGTGGGATAATTATTCCTACTACTTATTATGTATTAACCTCTTCCTACATTTATTTTCAAGGAATTATTATTCCCACATTTGGAAATAAGACTCATGGATTACCCACTGATACAAGGGTCTGATACTTTAAATATCAGTTCTTTTTCTTTAATTTTTTTTCATGAAACTGAGGACTGCAGGGCTACAGAAGCAGTTGAGTCTTGGCTATCTTGAGCTCTCTGTTGCTAACAATTCAGTCTTCCCTATGTCAATACCTATAATAATAAATAAATAACATCAGCATACCTGAATTTTTCTGCCCCTTCAGTGATGCTAATGTGCGTGATAAATTCTAGCATCGATCATAGTAGCTGGAAACCATTTTCTCCAACATTAATAATATTTCAAATCCGCAAAGTATATAGATATGATGTTTCTTCTTTTTAAGATTTTTTTTCTTCTCTCCATGAATAATACTATGCAAGTATGCAGTAGGCTTACATTATCAAAAACTACGGTAAAGTATCTTCAGTTTTATTAAAAAAAAAAGAAAAAAAATACCAGTCAACATTTTCATAGTTATTTCTACTTATTTTTAGGTCAATGAGATTTTCCATTCACCTGTGTAAGAACTGTTTGTACATCAAGAAGCTCAGGCATACCTGAGTTTGTAATCTGCAGAACCGAAATAACCAGACGATACAGAAATAGCTAAAAACTACCAAGACTCATTTAAAACTATCGACCCGGTCCTTGTAATTATCAAGAATAGCAGTGGTCAGGAAAATCACGAGACTTCCGATGTTGCTATCCCTGAGGAGAAGTTCAACTGGATTATGAACTTTATTATTATGTAAGCGGGCTGCTCCTGTCACGCCAAATACTAGTATAAACCGAAGAAAGCAAGAGCAAGCCTACTAACTTGATGAACATGGCCAGTTCTCTTTGCATACCCAATAAACCAATTCAGCAGCAAGTTCCACTCACAATACTGGAATCTGAGAGCCAGCCGTTGCGGAGCACTATCTGAAATAGATGAATTGCGAGTTCAAGAGAAAAATAAATGGGAGCGGGATTCAGGGACAGAGTTACAAAGCACACAAGCTAGGTTTGCAACTTGTACCCCTAATCTAATGAGCACGTCGAAAGTGAGAAATTTCTTGTTTATGCTGCAAACCATACGGTGAAAATTTTAGGCAGATTTAATTTGCTTCAGATAACTCTCACCACGGCGCCACAGTCTCATAGTGGGCAGGAGGAGATAATAGGCTAGAGAAGTTTTGAACTTACCATTGACAATGCAATCCTTTTAACTTATGGAGAACATCACTGACAGAACCCCCATTCTGATACAGCCATGTCCCTAGTCATGAGGAGCTGTTTCCGCCGGAGCCAAGAAGAGTTTTACTTCACAGTAACGTCTCAAATAGCGTTTCTTTGCAAATAGTATCCACATAGGATCCTGCTTATAATGAATAGCCCAAAGCAACTTCAGAACTAAAGCTGCATTCTAATGAATGGCTGAAGAGATTCCTAGACCATCAAATTTGTACTCGTTGCATATTTGAGACCAAGAAATCAAGTGTATATTGCTACCCTAATTAAAGGAAATTTCTACATGGTTCATCAACATTTTGGAGCACTTTTTTTGGGCAAGAGTAAAATTGTGCACCGGTACACTTGAACTCTCGTTTAGCCTACTCTTAACAAGTTGCACTCTGGCTGCATAAAGGGAGATTGCCTATTTTTCCTATGGAAATACTTTGTAATGTTTAAAAAGAGAGCATCACAATCTGAAAAAGACGATCTCTTACAAAACAAAGGCATGCCGAGAGATCAAATAGGGAATATGCGCTCTTAAAAAACCAAGGAGGCTAATAGTGCTGTGCTTCACATTATCAGACACCCCATCAAAGACAGAGCATTTTGCATGGTTACTTTAAAAGCAGAGACTATGAGTCAAATGCATCGAGACAATTATAAAGGTATGAGATAACTAATTCATCACCCCTACCAAGTAGGAGCAAGTCCTCAGCAAAAGATCAATGGCTGATCTTAAGCTTTGAACATTTTGAATGATATCTAAAAGAGCTGTTATAACAAAGAGAGTCCAAAGTCCTAGAGAGACACTCTAATGCAATGACAAAGAGATGAGGAGAAAGAGGATTACACCCTTAAAATAGCCGTGTAGTGTACCACTAAAAAAAAACACAAAATGGGATGGAGATGAAATGCATGATATGATCCAATTAACCACTGATCATCATATTTTATTACACTTTTATATCCCCAGACTCTTTTATTTTGAATAAAATATTTGCTAATAAAGTGGTTTTATCTTAGTTTGAAGGTAATGAAGTATTGATGAATAAGAGCACAAAGAACCAATTTCTCTCATTTTTCAACGTTTTATTGAAGCCCAAGATCAAGCTAAGAGGAGGCCCACAAACCCCAAAAGACCGAGAAAAAAAATTGGGTCAACAAGTTAATAAAAGAATAAAATTTTGTTAGGAACCAATCGATTGACCAATTGATTAGCTAATCGATTGGCTAACAAATTAGATCATAATAGAATTAGTTAATGACTGAGATTTATTTCTTGGAACTCAAGACAAATCCAATAGCATTTATTAATTGATATAGGCTATAAATAAGGGTAGAGAGTGAGGGTTTTGGTGTGAAAAATTTTGTAAAAAAAACTCCATTTTAGAGAAGAGGGTTACTCTTAATTTAGAAGACCTTAAAAAATTATAAACTTTTTAATTACAATAAATAAAAAAAATTCTCATGTTAAATTTTTTTTCTACTTCTTTGATGATGAAGATGAATATTTGCTTTCAAGAGGCCAATCTCTTACAATGTAAGCTTTTATTTTCCCTTGTATTTTCTTATTTTAGAATTGCGTGTTTCAGGATTTTTCTTTCATCTTTGGTAGATTAGATTTATTTCATGTTTGTAGTATAATTTTTTTTTATGCTTTTCAGAGTAGATTTATTTTCTTGCTCTTTCATGATTTGATTTTCTATTTTTTTCTTTTATTGTTTGTAGTTTAAATTTACTTCTTGTTCTTTTATGTTTATTAATGTAGATTTTTTTTATCAAATTTATTTCATAAAATGAGTAGCTAATTCTTGTAGAAAATCTAGGATTATATGAATCTAGTTTAACTGTGTTTTTTCCAATGAGAAAATTCCTATCCTATCATAGGCTAAGAGAGAGAGAGAGAGAGTTATTGGCCAATAATTATGGATTAAGTGGCCATTAATTTTGGAGACAGTGAGGGGATGAATACCCCTTGAAAATAGCCCCCAAAACGTTCATCTAGTGATGTTCACCTAATAGTTTCATGGTTGAAGTTCACTGGAAGAGTTTGAGCGAAATCTGCTGAATGTGGATGGGCCATCTCCTTTAAATCATGGATGATGTGGCCCATGTATGTGCCTCTCGGTGAAGTTCACATATAAACAAGTTAGCAAAATTTGCCAATGAGTTTGAATTTATCACAGAATTCGATTCGCGATTTGACCGACTCAATGACGTCTTTCAACTCGGCTCAAAGTTTGAATTAGATGTTGAACCACTCTTGACTTGATTGGTTTGGGTTAAGATAAGCTATGTGGTGAAGTTCACATGTCCTATTAATGGCGAGCTTTGCTACAGCTCGTTGTGGGCTTGAGTTTGCGCCTATTTGAAGTATTTAGCCCATGGACATTTTCTTCTTAGATCCAAGCTGAACGTTAGCATGGACAATATATTTCAACTGTCTACAATACCCCTCCCAAAAGTTTTCAAGATCATGCATTTGACTTGTGATAGGGATTGAAATACTTTGGATAGTCAGAGGTATATTGTTGAATGTAGCTTGGATCGTCTTGTTTAGGTTGAAATTTGTCTTCATTCTACTTGTTTGCCAGAAGTGTACTGTTGAATGTGGCTTCCTTTACTGTAGATTCATATTGGAGGCTTAATGGTGCTTGTACTCGTCCAATTCTATATTTGGTATGAAATTCATCTACCTTAACATTGGGATGAAGATGGAATGATGATGATGTTTGCTTGGTCTTGAGCTTTGGTGAAATTCGCTTAGCTTTGACTATTTGAGCGAGGTTCGCCATTTGATGAGG